CCCCTCCTCCTCCTCCTCCCCCTCCTCCTCCTCCTCCCGCGGGGCAGGAGCGCAGGGCCCACTGGCGCCGCCCTCTCGCCCGAGACAGGGGGGCCCCTCTCCCAGGCGAGGCGCCAACATGTCGCAACTCGACGACATGTCGGCGAGAAAAATGGCGTTCGCGCTGTTGTTTGACAGTTCAGACGGCGGGGTTGCTATCGGCCGGCTACAGTCGGGGCGTTGACCTAAGGAACCCTAAATAAGGAACGAGGCCGCTTTTTTCCCCTAAGTTAAACTTCGACTTCCCATGGAAAACCTGAGGGACACTGCAAAACAATCGAGGAACACCGAGCCCCTCCCCAACGAAAAGGGTTCCTTCCTCAAGGCCCCGACTGTAGGTGGGGATGTGGGGGTGTTGAATCATAGGAAGTAAGGATTGGCAGGGGTGGAGAGGTGGAGGGAGAAGGACTGGAGGGATGAGGCGGCGCGGCAGCGGCGCACAGCGCGCCCGCCTGGTGGCGAGGTAGGCCTCCGTGCTGCCCGAGCACCTCGGCGGTCGCCACCGCAGCTGCCCCCCGCCGGCGTGGCGACCGATCCGACACGGGGGCCAGGAGGGGCCCCCGCGACCCAGGGACGCCGACGGGGGAGGGGAGATCAGGGGGTGCGGAGGGGGCACCAGGAGATACGCATGAGTGTGCACAACTCCAGGCCTCCCAATAGTAGGGGGACGAAGAATGACATAAACATCAAAACTCGGAGGCCCGCGCGGGTTTCTCGTATCCGCGCTGGACCCACCCTTGCGGCGCCTCCGGCGCCGCCCCTGGCGCGCTCCGCGCGCCCAGGAGATGGGTCCAGCGCCGATCCGAGAAAACCGCGCGGACCTCAGTATTGGTATGTCTATGTTGTTCTTCGTTCCCCTGGACGAGGAAACGTCGGCTCCGTGCTGCGGCCCCGCCCTCTGGCCGGATCGGCGAAGCCTCGTGAGACGTTCTGGAGGCAATGGCCGCCAATAATTCACTAGCCAAGCGGGCCTGAGCCTGCTCTGGCATCGGCACCGCTGCAAAATGGCTGGAATCGCCACTTGGTCGCACCCTGCTCATACCTTGTCGGCTCAGCTTGGGTTGCGAACGCTGCTGGAATCCATCAGGCTTCATACTTCCCCTTGAAATAAAATATGTGGCAAACGTTGCATCCCTCGGTTCTCTGAGTGAGAGGTTGGGCTTGATTTGGGCTCGGGGACGTGCACCTTGACGAGGACAAACTAGACTCCTCGACTCCCTGGCTCTGATCCAATCTGGTCCATCCCACAGCGCTCATCGTGACAGAGACTTCTCGGCCCGAGGAGCTCAAGCGGCCGCGTGCTGCCGGCAACACGCAGCTGACGGCGTGGGAGTCTGAGCCGAGGACGTTTCCCAGCCAGGTGGGGCGATGTGATACGTCGGCTGCGCGGTTGGGACGTCGCCAACATCCACCACGAACTCGAAGTCGGCCGACGGCCCCGGGTTGGCTGCCGCGGAGGTATCGCGCACGAATCCGCTGAGGGAAACTTACTTTCAATGTCATCTCCACGCGATACCATGGCACAAGGAGGCGACGGCGACGACGAAGACGACAACGGCGGTGGCGACGGCGGCGATGACACGATCACGAGAACTACGAAAGCAATGACCACGAATGACGAGAGTGGCGTCAAGAACCACGACATTGGCAACGATGACGCCAAAATCGCCGACCAAAGGCTGGGGCGACTTGGGACGGCGTCGGCGGCCCGCAACGACGGCAGCGGCGTGCTTGCAAATTGCAAATTCGTGACCTTGCACTCAGTTGCCAACAACTCTGGCCTCAGACGATGCTGGCTGGGACAAGTGCCCGGGCTCTTTCCCACGCGAGACGGCCGGCGGACTGCACAGAAGCCGACCGGAAGCGCCCTGGAGGCCCTGCTGGAGACCCACTGGAGACTCCCTGAGACCCCCATGTGAGGTCGAAAAGACTTCCCACCGACCCCCTTCAAGCCACCAAAGCACGGTGGCAAGCCACGGGATACGGGAACTTGTCATGGAGACGATCGTGCGTCCGCTCGCACGGCCCCCGCATTGAGATTGCCGGGCGAGTGCTTCGCGCAAGACAGATCTGATATGAGAGCTGAGCTCGCCGTAGATCCATACAGCGGGCTTTTTGTGCGAGCACATGTTTTTTAACCGCTAACCTCCCGTCCTTCCGACCGCCCAGACGCAGCAGTCGACGTCAGGAGCTCCCGAGGAGGCACGGGCTAGGTTCCGAAGGGACCTCAAAAAGTCAGGATAACGACCCAGACACTCTCGAACCGTGAGCTCAAGTTTCGCTACAGGGCGCGTTTTGTTTGCACGTGGTGTCTCTTTAAACTGGTCAGGGGGTCTATGGGCTTTGACCCATCTCCATCTCCATCCTATCCTCGTAGACGGGGTTATCATGTCTGCACCCATTGGGGTGGGGGCCTTGTGGAAGCTTCTGCCCACCCAGGTTTGGATGATGATCCAGACGCGCACACACACACACGAAATTGCTGTCAATGTCACTCCGCTGGGAGGGTGGCGGGAACGGCCTCTGTTTTCACATTAATTATGTGCAGTGCCCGATGGCATTCCATTGCTCCAGGCCTCCCAGATGAGGTCGGAGTAGAGGGTTCTCACTATGTGCAAAAGCATGGTGTTATATACTTTGGGTGAATATGCCATTTTAGGCTGAGGGCCGCTTTTAGTCCAAGGTATCCTCTTCTGATGTCGCGTACAGCTCTCCACGATGCCGCGTATAGGTCTCAGAGCCTTGCTTGAAGCGTGCAGTCAGGGCTCTACGCGGACTCTGGCCCAGCGCGACTCGCACCACGATCTGCGTTACGCTCACCAACAACACTTCGAATGGCCCGTTTTTGTTTTCGTGTAGGCCTCGTGCAATTTGTCAAAGCACATCTGCCTTCACACCGCGGTGTCATTTTTTTGTCGTCTCGTGTGGAGGGCCGTGCCGAAGAATCTTGCACGCCAACATTTTGCGTATCGTCCCACCGCCCAACTTCTGGGCATACAACAAGGGTGCGTCCAGGCGGGGGGGCGCCAAGAAACGTAGATGAGAGCAGGCGCCGTGGAGCCCGGAATTCCATCATACCCCCAACATGATATCCACACCATCATACCCCCAGCCATGATATCCACACACCCTGAGTCATCACCCCCCTCTTGGCCCCCTCCTCCCCACTTGCTTGTCCTCCTCTCCCCATCCAGCCCTCCCTCACCCACTCCTCCCTCCGCTCCTCCTCCGCGCTGGCTGAGGGGCAGCCAGTAACGATGCGGCAGCTGGAGCGACGGCCAAGACGCAGCAGGGCGTCAAGGACGCAGCGGCAGCCATCAGCAATGGCAAGGGCCGCAAGAGAAAGGACCCGAAGAGCAAAGCGTGAGAGCTACAGTCGAAGCCTCCCGTGGAGGAGGGGGAGCAGGATGCTCCGACGAACAACGGCGTCAACTCCAAGGCCACAAGCATCAACCTGCTCGAGTTGTTTTTTTTCCCGCGTGTTCGGTTATATGACATCCGTGCTCAACGTTCTTTGAATCTCTGTCTAGAGAAACGGATCCTCAATCACTAGAGCTTCCCATGAGGTTATCTCGTACATGCATTACGGGCAGGAGAAGCGGCCCAAGGCTGGGAGTGGGACCCCGAAGGGGCGCTCTTGGATTCAAGAGCTTGAAAGAGTCGATATCGGTGAACATAATGAACATGTCGCGCGGAGGCCTCAAGCAAGTCTTGGCGACCAGCACCAGTGACGCGACGTGGATCGCAACTGTTGAGCGGACGATTCTGGCACATCACAATCAGGAGGGCGAAGGGAATCAAACATCAGTTGTTTTGACACGCGGCTGAGGTCAAGGGCAAAACATCTGAGTCAACGAGGCACACGTCCACATCAACGTCAGGAAGGTGGTTGTTCGAGATCAGACAGCAGGCTAGCGGTTACAGGAACAGGCAATCCTGCAGCAACTACTTCGGCCTCGTCATAGGGGCAACAGTGACATCTTCGTCACGCTTGCTGGTGGCTCACCACCACTTTCCAGGACGGAGTCAGTCGTGGACTACGAGACGCCGATTCGTCTTGGGAGGTCTGGGTGGTTCACACACACATGGGCAAGGCGACCGTCAACTGTCCCATGTACATAGAACAGGCAGCTATCCGAGTAGCCAAGAAAGCGCAGACTCGTGCAATCTGCAAATCGCTGGCCGGGCTCAGATTATAGGTCGCGTCAGGTGTAGACACGGTAGTGTTGCTTCGTACTCTCAGGGAGACGCCACTCCTGGTGAACGAGGCCACCACCAAGAGTGGAGTCTCACTATATCACCCAGTGGGCGTGGTCGATCAGAACATGGAGCAAGGGCACGCGCTTTGGACAACAGACCGCGCAGACTCGTGTTCACAAAGGGGGCCAGGAGCCAGCCGCCAGCACACCGCGGTCACAACTTCTGGGACTGCGGCAAGAGACGGCGATTGTACATCCTGAGCATCCAATCAACGGGATGTTCGGGACCGGGTTACTGAAGCAACGACGTAGGTTGGAGACGGTGTGCGGGTCCAGTCGCAGAAGCCGTCGTGCAACGACGGCGTTGGATCTGCTATCTCCGCCGCCGGGCCCAGCAGTCCGACGCAGCAAGGGGTGCATCAACGACAAGCGACGCGCTGTGGGCTTTTGGCAGCGAAGTGCACACCGCAGTCAACAGAGTAAGGAGTTCACACGTTAGGGTCAACACAGAAGGTGAATGCCACTGCTTGCGCAGAGAGGGCTCGCCACATCCGCTAGCGAGTCAATGCAGTGACAGCTATCCTTCTACAATACCTGTGGGATCCGATCACCCCCGAACACTTGGCAACTCCATCACGGCGGGGGCATGGGTGAACAAAGTGACTGGCACTTCCCAGAATTACTCACAAAGCCGCGAAGACATCAGCGACGCACGATCCAGTAAGTCAAAGTCAATTGTGCCCTGCCTGTGGGAGCAGACGGCCAGTCACTTTCGTGGTGAAGGAGTGGCAAAGGGCATTGACAATGATTCGTATCGCATCCTGCTGTTGAGGCTGACACAGATGCAAAACGAAACCCAATGGTCAGGAACTCTACTGGCGGTGGCGACAGGACGTGACCGCACACAGCTGACTTGATGACGAGGAATTCCAAGTGTGCCCTCGCTGCCTGATATATGGTGAGCGGCATCGAGAGACTCCTCTCCACGACTGCTGATTTTGAGCATACCGTGATTCGGACACCCAAGTGCCAGTAGCGTTCAGACGTCACAAGAAACACGAGCGCTCCTATCTTGAAGGGCTGGCCTCCGAAAAAGTGACAACAGTACGACCGCCACCAGGAACACATAATTTGAGGCATCGCGGCCACTGGTTCGTCGGAGCGGCGGCTTCTCGTGTGGAGACGCCAGCGGTGGAGGAGGCACGCATTCACCCAAGCTGCGTCGAGCAGGTACTGGCTTCACCATCGCCGAGTGTACCGACCCAGTTCGTCTATGACTAGAAGCACGCGGACCTGTAGCAGACAGGCGGCAGACGGTGTATCGAGGAGAGCTCGCGGTGCTGGAATTCGTCATTCGGAGCATCAGGGGGCCACCCACGTATCTAACAGACTACGAGAGGGTCAAGGAAGGATGGATGAGACAAATCCATCTTGAACCCAGAGCAGCCCAGACATAGATATGTGGAAGTATTTGGACAGCACATGCATGAATTCGCACCTGCCGAGAGAAAGAGAGCTACAGCATGGGGTTTGAGCATGTGGAAGGTGATAGGTACTGAACGAGCCGATCAAATGGCAAATGACGCTGCTGAAACTTGGCGGGTACCCGCTGACGGGCTTGCCCGGATCGCCATGCACGAGCAAAGAACGGAACCTCTTCGTCGGAGGTGCTGGCGTGCAGCGGTGCAAACCGTGATTGCTGGTCTGGGACCCAGTCAGGACGGAGAGCAGCGCCGCACGATCTTCTCTCTGCCCCTGCCACCGTTGCCCGATCTGGCACTGCCCACTGTCTTGGAGAAAATTGAAGGGGCCCAAGGACACACAAATAAGTAGACACAAATAAAAGGATTCCCCATAGTTTCCCATATTTTCTGGGTTTGTGTCTTCCCGCCCAATCCCCATATTTTCCAATATTTTCTGGGGGATCGACGATTAATTGTGTCTGTGTGTTTCTTCCCCTCCTGAAATAAGGCCGTCAATGTGACAGATGCCGAGGGTACGCCACGCAAGAGCAGCTCACTGAGTGGCCCAGTGCTCCCTGCTTCCAGCTGCTGTCTGGAGATGGTGTCGTTCCCTTTTTAGGATACCTCCTGGAGGCCGAGCTCATTGCTCAGAAGCGTCTCTATTCTTCACACAATCTCAGCTTTCTCAATCGCCTGGAACTCTTGTTTTGCAGAGCATTCGGATATCATTCTTCCTAGCAAATGCGAGGCCGTGCCGTCGAGTGGATACGAAGAGCCAACAGGTCTCGACAGGAAGACGTCTCCAGAATCGAGGGTGGGCTCTGGCCCAAGCTCGTCCCTGTCGTGCCAACGAGTCGGCGGCCTCCTGTCCCGCCCCCCGCCGGGCGGCAGCGGAAACACGGGGCTCAGGCGCGTGCAGCCTAGGGGTCCTTCGGCGGCGAGCGAGGGGGGGCAGTGAGCAGGAAAAGGCCTCCTCGGAAGGCGGCGGGACTTCTCAGAAGCCCTCGCGTCTTCCGAGAGGTTTTTGTTGTCTTCGGGGGAGGCTTCGACAACTTCTCAGGAGGCTGGGGGACTTCCGAGCTGTCTGAGAAGGCCCGCCCCTCGTCACTCCCCCCCCCTCGCTCGCCGCCGAGTCCTTTGAGTCCCGAAACGGCGTGGTGACAGACCGTGCGGTGACCTCGAAGTCCCGCAAGACCTCACCGCACGGTGCGTCAACGCACGGTCTTGGGACCCCCGATGCCCCAGGTCGCCCGAGAGGTCCTCGGAGAACGGCCCCGAGTCCCAAAACCGTGCGGCGACCCTGACTACCTACCAGACCACCCCAACCCCACCCGAAGGCCCGAACTTCGGGTGGGGGGGGGGGGTAAGGGTTCCACTTGGAGGCCTGGAAATGGGCACCAACACCAACACAGGGGGGTTGCCTCCACAGGGGGAATATGATCCTAGATTTCGGTGTTGGTGGTAATATTTCGGCCACCTTGGAAGCCAGACTATTACCACCATCACCGAGATCGGGATCTTCATCCCTCGGTGGAGGCACACCGCCGAAATTGGTGTTGGTGTCAATCTCTAGGCCTGCGATCCACATGTGCTTCTCCGATGTTTCCCGATCCCCCCCCCACTAGAAATCGAGGGTAAATCTGAGCCTTCGGGTTGGGCTGGGGTGGTCTGGTGGGTGGTGAGACCCCGCATCCCCACCGGCTCACCGCACGCTTGGGGGCCCCCGCGTCCTGCTCCGTGCTTCCTCGCAGCACAGCCCGCCAGGGCCGCAGGCCGACGCCGACGAGCGGCGCGGGCCCCGCAAAGATGTCGGCCGGGACGCCCTCTCGCGAACCGAAAACGGCCAATTCGCCAATCGACGCGTCGGGGTAGGAGGCCTATCAACCTCCGACACAAGGACAACCCATTAGACGACAAGATGTAGCTTTTTTTGTTTTTGTTTGTTCCCGCTTGCGGTCCATCTCACAAATCGTGCCGGGGCGTCGACAGGCAACCATGCCGCAGGACCGCCATCGCCCCTGCCTCCCGACAGTCTGTAGCTTTCTGTGCAGGCCCTGCTTCGGGAGCGCGGGGCCCGACCGAACCCTCCGCAAGGGACCCCAAGGCTCCCGGCGGTCCTCAAAGAGAGTCCCAGTCTTCTGCGAGCCTCCCCCCCCCCCCTTGGTTCTCTCGGCGGGGAACAAGCTCGTCCCTTTTCCGCCTCCCCCCTCCACCCCCCCTCCTCCTCCTCCTCCTCCTCCTTCTCCTCCTCCTCCTCCTCCTCCAGTTAGATATCCTCCTCCTCCTCCTCCTCTTCCTCCTCCTCCTCCTCCTCCTCCTCCTCCTACTCCTCCTCGTAGGCGTCGCGGCGGAGATTAGTTTCACTCCATGGTTAGGCGGGTTGGATAAGGTGGGGGCTCTTTCTCCAAGGGCATAATCCGTTGCGGACTGCTCTGGACGCGAGAAGACTCGTGAGCACCTTCGCATGAGCATCGCCATCATAATCAGTGGTTGAGGTTGTAGTCGTGATTGTAATCGGTGGTTTTAAATGGTATTGCAATCGTAACCGTAGTCCCGGTTGAAGTCGCAATGGTAGTCGTCGTCGTCGAAGGGGGGAGTATCTTCCCTCTTGTACGTTCCTTCTGTTTTTGGGCGGACTGGATAATGTTTGGGGGTTATTTCTCCCCGAAAGCAATCCATTGTGGGCTCCTGACACGCGAAAGGATTTGTGAGCATCTGCAACTGAGGATTGCAATAGGGAGTAGTCGCAGTCGTAGTCGAATTCGTAGTTGTAGTCGTAGTCGTAAGTGTAGTCGTGGTCACTAACTACGCGTAGTCGCAACGCAGCCGTAGCAATAACCGATTTGTAGTCGTAATCGTAATCGTAGTCGTAGTCGTTGTTGTGCGGCGGGTGCAGCGGAACAATCTTTATTTTGCACGATTAGTTGGGCCCCAGTCCGTCAATGAGGTGTCGAAGATATACTAGTCTCCATATATTTGGGAGGGTGCTAAACACCGATGTGGGGGCACACATAATACAATGAATCGAGGCGCCGGTTCACGATCCCTTCCTTTTTTCATGGCTGGTGGAGGTCTGGCAGGGTCAAAACTGATCGCAAGGACCCGCGATAAGGATGCAAGGGGCCGTGGGAGGCCATGCCGACGCTTTCCGATGGGAAGCCTTGGGAAGAGCTGGTCCTCACTGGCGGTGGTGACTGCACGGCCCCGAGAGGGCCCCAGGGCTCCCACGGTGCGCCCTGGCTGCCGGAAGAGGACAAGGGGGGGGGCGGGGGCTGCGGCCGCGCGAGCGCGGCTCGCCCCGAGGTGCTCCCCAGCGGGCCCCGATCATCGTCCAGGAGGGGAGAAACCACACAGACACAAGGAAGCGTCGATTCCCCAGAAAATAGGGGGAACATATTGGAACGGGGGGGGGAGACAAACACCCAGAACACATGTGAAAACATGGGGAACATGTTTATTTGTGTGTATGTACTTGTGTGTCCTGGGGCCCCTTCAATCGTGTTGAGCCCCTGGCGCAAGGGGTCGCAGCATGGCCCCAGCGTGGGCACGGAAGTCTCGAGACCACTGCGGGCTTCAGGAGGTGTGCAGGAGAGCTCGCGGCCCCGAGAGGCACCCAGGTTGGCAGCCCCTGGGGCCAGCAAGCAAGGCTGAAGCTGTGCTGAGCTCAGACCGAGTGCTCAGATCATATCAGATCAGCTGTAGGTCAACTGCGCCAAGCTGGGCTCGATTGTGCTGAGCCTGGTGAATTCAGTACATCCCAAGACAAGTCACGCCCAGATCATTATGATCAACATCTTCCCTCTCTGCCAACCTATCTTCCTCTGATGTGTGTCCCTCCACCCCCTCTGCCGCGTCATCCTCACACTCCGCCAGGAGGCAAAACAATAGGCTGGCTCAGATAGCCTGATATGGGAAAAAGGCAAGCAAGCAGACTGAACTGAACCACTGTATGCTGACTACTATTACAAGGGAGGCGACCGACGCAACAGCAGGAGGGAAGGATGATGGTGGGAAGGAAAGGAAACGTGCAATTCGATTCGATCGGCCTGTCTCTGGACGGAAGCCCAGACACTCACCACAAGGCCCAGGACATAGGACCCTGAATGGCAAGGTCAGTTCCCGAAACGTGTCAATAAAATCACCATCCTTGGCACCGAGACGAGATACCTGCGGTTGAGGTACTTCGGCGACCAGGTGAACGAGAGCACCCCGTTATCCAAACCCACCGCGCTTCCGTTGCCGTACCTGGCTAAAGGATGTGGCGCTCGAGTTTGCACAGGAATTGGGGGCAAAGCTTGCCAATTCGAACGCGAACAAACAAGGTATTGCGACCTCGGTGTGTAAGTTATGCGATGAAATCTACGTGGCACAAGCCACGTGGTGCAAGTCATGCGTGCTGCAAGCGAGGCGGTAAAAGCTCTTCTTGGCGCGAATTACGCTGTGTAACCTGGATGGTGCACACAGTGTGGCGCAGATGTTGTGTGATGCGCGCTATGCTGTGTGGGCAGTGTGGTGCACGCTATGCTGTGTACGCCATGCGGCGTACACAGAAGGTGCAATATCTATACGTATATATATATGTATACACATGTGCATACATATATATATATATATAGCACGTCCAGACCTCCACCCTCCAGGCGACGATCGACGGTCGATGGGCTCTCTTTTCCCCTGGGCCGAGAGCACAGCTCACAAGCTCTGAAGTGGATGACCGCATAATTATGGCAGCCGAAGGCCGCACGTGTCAGGCATGCACAGCTGAGCCTGCGGCAAAGGAGGAGGGGGAAGGAGGGTCAGACAACAAAAACTCGAGCCAAGAGTCGCCTGGATGGTGAAGACCTGGAAATCATGATAACTGAACAAGCTGATTAATCAATTCCAGACGTCTACCCTCCAGGCGACGGTAGACGACCGATGGGCTCGATTTTCCCCCTGGGCCGAAAGCGCAGCTCACAGCTCTGAAGTCGGCAATCGAGGACGAGCCGCTGCTTGTCGTTCTTTTTTCTCGACGAAGAAGGGGTGGGAACTGCCAGCCATCTGGGCATGAAAAGAGATGTAGAGGGAGCGGTCGGCCATGAGCCAGGGAGCGGTTCAGCCCGCATGTCGACCTCTAGCCGTCAGAGAGCATCGAGTCCTCAAAATTGTAGACCACGCCGCGGGGTCGAAGTGGGAGGACGTCCGCGAGCGGAACCAGGGACGACGAGCCGTCGGCCCGGGAGACCTTTTAACTGTCGTACGGTACCACTGTGCTGCCATCGCCGTGATCATCACACCGGTGCCCGAGAAGCTCTCGCGACGCTTCCTCGGGCGAAAGCACAGGCACTGAAGAGGTAGCCAAAGAGATCGCCGGAAGCAAATGCCGATGAGCCACCGCCTGCGCATCGTTCGCGGTGTCAGCAGGCGGAGACTCGCAACCGCGCAGGGCGTTCAGCGCCACGACGGCCGCGTCGGCGTCCTGGCCGACAGCCGCGCGATGTCCAGCGCGCCGCCTGGCAGCCCGCGACTGCCCGGGTGACCCAGGTGGGGCATCCCACGGGATCGGCGGAAGGGGAAAAAGGCCCCCTGCGCGCGCCCGATGAACCCTGGGCGGCCCTCGTCGAGGCCGCGCACAGTCCTGCCAGCGATCGCGAGACGAAAATCCAGTCCGGCATGCTGTCGGGGACTGAGGTCCGCCCTGCACCACTGGAATCTCGGCCCCTTTTGGTCCTTGGCGGGGTCCTCCCCCCCGCCGTTCTTGGCCTCGCGCGCCTTGCCTGGCCCCTTATCGATGGCGGCGCGCGTGCCCATCTCCTCCACCACGTGCTTCCGCAGCGAGGGGGCCATGCCGGCGCCGCACTTCCTCTTCTCGATGCCCAAGTAATGCTCCCAGCCCTCCCAGTTCGGGTTGTGGGGGTTCTCCTCGTGCCCCCAGCTGCCGCCCCTCGGAAAAGAGCTGATGCTGCTCGGCGGCGGTGAGCCTCTGGTTGCACACGGTTGACGCCCAGGACGGCCGCCCCCGGATCGCTGGTGGAGCGGATCCCTGACAAATCAGGGCCGGAGGCGTCCAGCTGCTCCACGAATATGTCGAAGCCACGGCTGCTGACAACGTGTTCTTTGCCCTGCACACGGCACAACACAAGGCGCTCATGCCACAGGTCTTCGTCGTACCTGACCAGAACCACGTCACCAGCTCGTGAAGCCATCACGAACCTCGCCGCGTCCTTGGGCTGTGAGTGGCAGGCGAGCTCGCAAAGGAGGTCCAGTCCTCCTCACCAGCTGTTCCTGCTCCTCCGTGCCCTCTGCCAAAGCAGCTCGCAGTGTGCGAGGCGCCATGCTTCCGCTCGTCCACCAGATACAGACGGCGAGGACGCCTGCCACGAGCCCGGCGCAGCTGCCCAGGCCCGCGAGGAGGATGTCCCGCTGCAGGGACGCGACCTCCAGGCAGGCCAGACACGAGCAGCTCGGGCAGGCAGGGTGGGTCACCCCCTGCAAGTGCTCCGGCCCGCAGCGCGCCAGCTGCTCGCGGAGGACCTCCAGCACCCCGGCGCCTGGCTCGGGCCCGCTGAAGTCGCAGTGGCATGAGAGGTCCTGCGACCCGTTGTTCCAGAAGCGCTCGCCAAGCGCACCCAGGCCCCAGCCGGCTGCCGCTTGCATGCGCCGCGGGCGAGGTGAAAGAAGCTTCTCCGAAAAAAAAACTCGAGCCGAGAGTCCTCCGGATCGGGAGGACCTGGCAAGCATGATAAATCAACAAATTGATACATATGAATTGCAAGCCAGGTAACTGAACAAAAAACACAGCGAGCACAGTAGGCGCCGACGAACGCCCGCCAGGCGGAACCTCGGCAGACCCAACCTGCGCGCGGGGCGCCCACGAGCCACCACCCGTCCAGCACACGAGGAGCAGGCGCCCGCGGCAGCCCATTGTTCGACGCCTTCGGCAGACCCCGCCAGCGCACGGAACGCCAAGGCAGAGCCCACGGCAGCCCACTGAGCGGAACCTCGGCAGACCCGCCAACCAGGCGAGACCCTGGCAGATCGAGTCAGCGCACGGAGCGCCCACGAGGAGCTCACGACTAGCCGCCAGGCAAAAACTCGGCAGACCTGGCCAGCTGAGACACCGCGGCAGAGCCAGCCAGCGCACGGGGCGCCCACGAGGCGCCCCTGGCCTCCCACCAGGCGGAGCCTCGGCAGCGTCTGACAGCTTCGTAGAAGAGCTAGTGGGAACTCCAAAGTGCAGGCAATGTTTTCGGAGCTGGACCCGGCTTCTCTCCACTTGTTTGCAATCCAGGGCACAGGGAGAGAAGGGCGTCTTGAGAGAGATGGGGCCCTCGGCCAGCGAATTTCGTGGAAGTGGCTGGTAAGTCCCCCCCTCCAGCTTGCCCAGGACACCGACCCCCTGAGATCTCTATATGACTCCGAACAACCTCAGGATAGTATATAGTCTCTTGCGGTGGCAGACCTGACTGGATGCCAGCATCAGGACTTCGCCGGCGTGCAACTCCACGCCTGAGTCTCCAGCCAGGCGAACGCACCAGAATGCGCAAGCTCCTCCTCAACCTCTTCTTGATCCTCCTGCTCCTCCTGCTCCTCCTCCTCCTCCTCCTCCTCCTCCTCCTTCCTTGTCGCCTCTTCATTGCCCATCTGATTATCATCACGATGCAACTAGCAAACTCTAGCACGTTTACATTGCCCACGTAGTAGCTAATGATCACGTGCTTGCCAACCGGGAGACGCGAACGTCCCGATAGTCCTTGCAAAGCACGTGCTCGACGAAGGACAACGATATGAACCCATACGAAAAAACAAAACGCCTGTCACAACGCCCCACTAAACAACCACATCCTGAGACATGGACGTCCGCATGAAATAGCAAGATTATGTAGCGATGATCGGCACGCAGGCGTCTGGCTGAGTGCTGTGGGCTACTAGCAGCCAACTCCGAGCTCGAACTGTGATGCCTAACCCCATTCAGGATGGCATGAGGGAGACGGTCACGGAACACGCATGGGTGAAGCGAGTGAGGGACAGCCGTACGATTCACATCAGTCAGGCAAGACAACATGTCCAGCTGGCGGCTAACGGCATGACTAAATATACGTGTGTGCGTGTGTATATATATATACTTATATATACATATACATTATATATATATATATATATAATGTATACGTGTACCCACTCCTTACCCTTCAGTGTGCTTCCTCAATAATGGCCACGGGCGTGTCGCACAACACTGGCCATGAATATAGGTAGAGAGCGAGAGAGGGTGTGGACAGGAGAACGGGCCCCAAGCCATGTGTAAACCTTGAAGAATCGACCTGGCCTCCCACCCGCTGGTGTCGTGGCACACGCTGCGAAGTCGACGGAGGGATTTCCAACACATCCGCCGATCCCCCTCGGCTCGACAATGCAATTCGGCAAATAACAGTGTTGCGATGCTCTTGGCCCATTCGAACTCTTGCTGTCACGACTTCTGATGGGCTTCCTCCTGAATCCAAAGTCCACTGAACTGGTCAACCCCCCGATGGCTTGCACGACGAATTCCCAATCGCACGCGACCCCCCTCGGCTCGGAACCGTTTCTCCTGATCCTCCCCATAGAATAATTCAGCTACAATGAAGACCCAACCACAAGAAATCTTCCACAAGAGACCCAGCCCTGAGATCCAAGGTCAATCGATTTCTATTGTGGGAACATCACGCTTCTCATAGCAAAAACATCGAACAAAAACCCAAGACACCCAGTGCACCCTAGAGGCGAGCAAGGTGTGTCTTGGCATGGGCCTCCACAGTAGGAGTAATTTAAACAGTCAGCTCCCGGCAGTCATAGGTCGGGCATGTCCCCCTACAAGCGGATGTTGGACAACAAATGAAACGGATCCAACACATACTCAGAACATCTGGTGGGAAAATCGTCCCCGTACTATGTTTGGACTTTCTTTGGACACTCCTCCTGCAAAGGGGCAGACCCGCGCGGAGGAGGAGGAGGAGGAGGAGGAGGAGGAGGAGGAGGAGGAGGAGGAGGAGGAGGAGGAGGAGGAGGAGGAGGAGCGAGGAGGAGGAGCGAGGAGCGAGGGGCGGCCACACCACCACCACCAGCGCGAGGCGCCTCAGGGAGGGCCCTCCCGGCGGTGCGGTCCCCCCCCCCCCCCTTCTCGCGGGGCACCCCCCCAATGACCCCGCAAGTTGGGGCCTCGTCCTCTCCTCCGGTCCTCCTCCTCCCTCCTCCCTCCTCTCCTCCTCCTCCTCCTCCTCCTCCTCCTCCTCCTCCTCCTCCTCCTCCTCCGCCTCCTCCTAGGCAGTGATCACCAAATCGGGGAGGCAACGATCCCCAATGGGACAACCCCTAAAAGATTCCCGAATGATTCCCCTCTACTGATCCCCCTGGTGATCCCCCTGATGATCCCCCAAGTGGACCCCCATCGATGGAAGTGGCCCCCGTGGTGGTGGTGGTGGTGGTGTCGCATCGCCTTCATCCGGTCTTGGGCGCCCTGGGACAGGAACGAATCTGATGGAGCGGCGCTCTTCAAACCAGCAGCGAACTCTCGTGACAAAATCGCTCCGCGCGCCCAAGGCCAGGATTTCGCGGGAGAAATTCCGCGACCCTGAAGCCACGATGTCTCGTAAAGCACGGTGGGGTCACGCTCTCAAAAACGTGGGCAAAATGACGCAATCCTTGGACTACTGCTCCCGAAGAACCACGATACATCCCGAAACCACGACCTCCTTAAAAGACCATGGGTCTGCGATCGCGAGGACAGCATCCACTGTCACAAACACATGACCCGCACTCCGAACGCCACCATTTCTAGGAAAGGCCGATGGGCCTGTGGGCTCGCGCTCCCGGGGTTATGATGCATTGTATGATGTGCGAGTTCTGAGCCACGGCTCCTTGCTACAAGACCAGCGGTCCGCGCTCCAGAGGTCACGATCAATCAAACAAACGACGGGTCCGCGCTCCCAAGGCCATGATCCCTCAAAGAGAGAACTGCGGGCCCGCGCGCCCACAACACCAATGCCTTGACAGGACCAAGCATGGATCCCCATGCCTTGGGGCCAAGATCGCTCACGGGAAGAATGCATCCGCGCTGCCAGGGCCAGGTGATGGGGCCCCTTGGTACGACTCCCCTGGGGCTCGAATGTGACTCTCTTGGGGCTCGGTTGCTCTCTTGGGACTCTGTTGAGACTCCTTTGGGGAAACCATAAGGTACCGCTACCGCTACTCCCCAGACCTCTCCTGGGGTGCGTTCTGACTCGGATGTCGAGGCGAATCCAGGCGGTGACGACGAGGGCCGCCCAGGAGGCCCCAAAAAGGGGAAAACGGACGGGGGGGGGGTAGAAGCATGGGTACATTTTCCTCCTCCGATCCTTGCTGCAGGAGGAATGCCTCTCCTGGGACTTTGTTGATCGACCCCCGCGGGGTTTTACCCGTGGGACCAGGGCAGCACCGCCCAGTGGGCCGTCGGCACAAGCGCCCTGGGAAGCTGCAGGGGTGACGGATGGCGGGAGGGGAGCGAGGGAGAAGAAAAAGGGGAGGACAAATGAGGTGCGCTCGCGCAGCGTACAGTTAACCCGCATCTTAAGGACGCACGATAAGAATGCAAGGGCCGTGGGAAGCCATGTCGACGCTGTGCAGGCGGGGCGCGCCAGCGAAGGCGGCCAAGTATGGGCCGAGGAGGCAAGGATGCAAGGGCACCCTTGGGAAAATTGCCCATCGTTACGATAAGGGTTGACTGCATGGCACCAGGTCCGTCCCACCCAAACCTTTTAAACTGGGGCGAGAGCGCCACTCCGAACGACGGGAGCGAAGCGCGGGTCCTGAAATGAGTCCACGTTGCGGCGGGGGCGCCGTTGGAAGAACCAAAGACATTCCGACCAAGAGAAGTTAAACACAAACCAGACAGTCGAACATATTATGCTTCGAGCGACCACCTCCGAAACCTTCGGCGTTTGATCCCATCGGCACGCGCCTACTGGAACGGTGCGGGCAAGGCCCAGTGGTCTCGGCCATCGCGGCGGTCGGGCCAGGTCGTTGCTATCTCGTGTCGGTCGTTGCCAAGGCGCCAGTGACGCATGTCACAGTTGATGTCTTACATAAGTGTTCGATGTTGCGCCTGTTGTTGTCCTGTGGACAGCCGTAAGCCGGCGTGGATGCTGAGTCCCCGAGGACAATTTAAAGTGTGTCCTATTCCATCATTTTCTAATATGTGATACGGTACGCTCTATGTTCAATTGTGTTCTCGACGAACGGGCATAACGTCGTGACGCCGATCACGTTAGATGCGTCGTCCAGTCGGTCGTCGTTGCACCTGTTTGTCCATGTCGCCAACCTGACCTCGGCGCGCACGACGCGTTTGATTATGTTATGGTAGAGTAACATATGCTTTGATGTTCGTTTTGTGAGCCGCCGTGGAGGTGTGGCTGCTGTGTAATATTCTGCAGTGTTATCTGGCTTGGATCCTGCCCCAGTATTGTTAGCGACATCGTAGCATGCTCTATTTTGTTCTGGACGGGTAACGGTGACGCATGCAGCGTTTGATATTTCCTTGCTGCTACTGCTTGTTGAAATGGCCAGCGTGGACTCGTCGCGCATGTTACGCATGAGAGGACGACATTACTCGGTCTCTGCTGTATCATACTCCGTACATTTCTGTTGGGGTTGTATCTGCCCTATGTACACAATATTTGTTCTGCCATGCTGTCGGTGGGGCGTCGTGACGCCGTATCGCCTCTTACGTTTGATACGTCTGATATGTCGTCTAATCGGTCGTTGCTGCGCCTGTTGTTGTCCTGCGGACAGCCGTACGTCGGCGTGGATGTTTCGTTCAACAAGGCGCCATTCATCAATCGCTGTTGAAATTAACCCGCTTCAGCTATATCCAGCTGTATCCTATTCCATCAAGTTCTTATATGTTATTCGGTATTAGGTTGTGGTGTGTTCTCGACGGGCGGGAATGACGTCGATACGCCTGTCACGCTAGATGCGTCGTCCAATCCGTCGTTGTTGCGCCTGTTTGTTCCTGTGGCCAGCCTGACCTCGGCGCGCACGACGCGTTCGATCATATGAAGATGCGACCTTCTATGTCCCTCTTCCGCGTTGAACCACTCTAATAATATCTTTACGGTGGTATGCTCAGCTCTGTCATAAGATGCGCTAAAATAATAGGCTGTGCTTCTTGTGCTAGGTACTCCGGACCCCTTAATAATCGTCCCCCGGGTCATTTTTTTCAGACGCCTTTTAAGGAGGCAGAGGGGTCCAGTTTATGAGGGCGCATTTTGTGCATGCAATTTCACACCACCCTTAAGCCCCATGGCCTTTGGAATCAGGTGGGGTTTCGTCATACGTGGTGCTCCTCACACCTTCTGGTCTGCTCTGTTGGGGGTCGGGCCTTTACCATTCCTGGGGTCCCGTGCGCCTCGGAAGTACTCTGCGGGGGAACATGGATACTAATAGCCCTTGCACCAATCTTAAAAATTGGCAACGGCGTCTACCTATCGCCACCGTTATCCCCGAGGTTACAACCGTCATGAACGATCGCGCTCGCTATGTTGCTTGGGGTGGGCTCCAGACTATTGAAGCGCCCTCTGCGGAGAGGGGGTCCCGAAAATTATGTCGCGAAGGAAGGGCGTGTCTGGTTTAGAGGGGGGTGATTTTGAAGGGATGCACTACTATGCTCAGTATGTTAGCGGCCTCCAAACGGGCAACATGGCCTCCAAGACGGCTGACAAGGCAATCAAAATGACATCAAGACGGCCGAAGACAGCTCAAGAGGCTCCCAAGAAGGCTTAACACCACTCAAGAAGCTCCTAGGACGGCCGAAGACGGCCCAAGAGGGCTCCAAAAGGCACTCCACGAGAGCCCGAGGAAGCAACAACCATTGACTTCCCGTTGGTCATCGGAAGATGTTGAGGTTCTCGCCTGTTTCGGCTTCCGACCGCCCAAAACGGCCCAAGAAGCATCCAAGATAGCTCCAAGGAAGCCCATGATGCCCCCAAAGGGACCCCGAGTCGCCCCAAGAGGGGCCCAAGATCGCCCAAGAGCCCCCCAAGCGGGCCCCAAGAGGGCCCGAATCGCCCTCCTATGACGGCCCAGGGCCACAGGAGGTCCCCAAAATGCCCCCACGAGGCCACCCGGGAGGCCCCCAAGATGGTCCCAAAAAGTGTTCTCATCCTCGCCCTTACTTTCTCGCTCTCCTCCTTATCCTTCTTGTCTTCCTCCACCTCCTCCTCCTCCTTCTCCTCCTCGTCCTCCTTCTCCTCCTCTCTACCGCGCGGACGAAGACGATGACGGGATCATGACCCTCACCAACTCACACCACTCACTGAACTGCCGTGCGTTGTGAACTCGACCTCCCTTCTACCGCGCGGACGAAGAGGAGGTCGAATTCGCTATCCATCCTTACCATGCCAATTGTCGGAAATGCGTTGTCCTACACTCCCTCTCCGTCCTGCAGCGATGTTGGACAAACGCACTGGCGGGGGCTACCGCAAACAGCTGCATCATGTGCTAAGTTCTCTTATGGTGTTATCGGCGATGTGTTATATAATAATATGACATGTCATGTCGTAGACTGTTACGGGAAGTATGGTGTTAGCTCCTGCTGTCAATACATGGTACGGCCCGTTATGTCATGGCATGGCATGTAATGTTATGATACGCTATGTAATCTGATGTTGGACTATGGTGTGCCAAGGTGCGTACTAACATGAAATGCTAGATTAGACCATGGTATTGGTATGCTATGTTGTGTTGTGGTATGTTAGATTGCGGTGTGTGGTGTCACGCTGTGGCATGCACGAACCGCCACTGCGTTGTGTGAGTTGTTATGCTACATAGTATCCGGATATGTGATGATGGTTATGCTATGGTATAGTATGCCATGTTGTGTGCACTGCGTTATGTTCGGCTCTGTCATGTTGTGCTATGTTATGCTGAGTTAAATGTTGTCATGCTCAGTGGGCGGGAACCTCGGGGACTTTCAGTGAACCTGGGGAACTGGCAGCCACGGTATTCAGAGTGGGCCAGCCAGGTCGGGAGGGGCGGGAGTCTGGGGGGACTCTCGGTAGACCTGGGAATCTGGCGTCCGCGGCATGCAGGGTGGGCGGGTCGGGAGGTCTGCTCTCAAGATCTGAGCACCTCGGCCTGCCGGGTGGGGAAGCCAACGTAAAGCAATGCGCGAAGAGGCAGGGGATCTTTCAGGACGCAGTCGGGAGAATGAGGAGAGTAGAGCTCAGGTTGATCATGTGTTAGGGAGGAGACGAAAAAGGTACGAGGGAGACAGGACACAACAAGAAAGAGCAGGAGCTGGAAGCGGAGGCAGAGGCACCCCAGCGCCACCGTGGCATTGTCGTCCGCGCCGGGCCCGCCGTACTCCTGGCGGCCGTCCGCTGGCAAAGGCCAGCACTCAGGCTGGGGGCGAGGGCGAGGGGAGGAGTAGGGGAACGACAAATGGCGTAAACATCAAAACTCTGAGGTCCGCGCGGGTTTCTCGGATCGGCGCCGGACCACCCTAGCGGCGCCGCCTGCGCCGCCCCTGGCGCGCTCCGCGCTCCGGCCCCTGGCTTGCGCCCCGCGCGGACCTCCGAGTTTTCATGTTTATATAATTGCTCGCTTTCCTGAGGAGGGGGCGGGGGGCAGGGAGGGGAGCGAGGGCAGGGAGGAGTAAGGGCCTGCGCGATGCGAGTTTCTGGGGAGCGGGCGAGACCACCCACCGAAGATGGCGAGCCCGCTCGCGGGCACACCCCAAAGAGCATCTCCAGGGATTTGGAAACCTCCCAGGGCCCTGGCGGAGGAGCAGGCAGGATGGAACAAAGATGAGGGAGGAGGAGGAGGAGGAGGAGGAGGAGGAGGAGGAGGAGGAGGAGGAGGAGGAGGAGGAGGAGGAGGAGAAGGATGAGGAGGGACGTGAGGCTCCTCGGCGCAACCTGAGCGGACGCGGGCAGGCGCGTCAATGCCCCACCCCCCCTACGCCCCTCTGGAAGGCCGGGGCCGTGCGCAGCGCGGCGTCTACAGAGCCGCGCAGCGGATCCCCGGCGGCCAGAGGAGGGCCTGCCGCAGAAACTCTGGGCTTGGGGGTCCCAAGCCACTGGGGTAGGGGCTGTGCGGCGCGCCGGGCTCCTTTGCGCACGCCATTGGTGTGCGAGTTGTGCCGACGCCTGCTTGCTGGCTCCCTTCTGGAGGGGGGGGGACCTGAGCAGTAGGTGCGAGGAGCCCACCTTTGCTCCGTGCCGAGGCGGCTCTCGTAACGATGGGGCTGGGGAAGGGGGGGGGACCCGTGTTGCATTGGGTCCTGTTCGCCGTCGTCCTCTTCTCCGGGGGCTCGCCCAAATGTCGCTTGTCAGAGAGAGGGGGCCGAACGGTCATTCACTGTTCCCGGGTGTGTGGCTGAAGTGGGATTCCGCGATGCGGATTCTTGTTAATGTTTGTTGTTGTTTGCTGTTGTTTGTTGTTGTTGTTTGGCGTCGTCCCCCCAGCGACCAGGCCCGCGACCCACCCGCGACCCACCCCGCGACCTGCCCGCGACCCATCCGCGACCCACCTTCGACCCACCTTCGACCCATCCGCGAACCAACCTGCGACCCGCCCGCGACCCACCCGCGACCCTCCCGCGACCCACCCGCGACCCACCCGCGACCCACACGCGACCCAACCGCGACGCAACCTGCGACACACCCGCGACCCACCCGCGACCCACCCGCGATCCACCCCGCGACCCACCCGCGACCTAGCCCGCGACCCACTCGCGACCCACCCGCGATCCACCCTGCGACACGCCCGCAACCCGCCCGCGACCCACCCGCGACCCACCCGCGACCCATCCGCGACCCACTCGCGACCAATCCGCGAACCAACCCGCGACCCACCCGCGACCCATCCGCGACCCACCAGCGACCCACCCGCGACCCACCCCGCGACTCACCCGCATTGCTTTAACGAACAATCGACTCCTGCGGCGGGCTTATATATATATATATAAAGTAAACAAAAAAGCTCGGCGCCTGCGGCGGGCGTCCTCATAGCCTCGCACACTGCAGACATCCCTGCCGCCCCCTCCACTCGTATCCGCGACCGCGGGATGCTACGTAGAAGTGAATTCCTGCTGGCACCGAGCCGTGGCCCCTTTCATGTCTTATCAGCGCCACGCTGGTATCCCCGACATGTGGGGTCTCCTCCCCCCTGCGTACTGACGGCAGGAGAGCGCAGAATCGAATCGATAAGTCGGATCGGCGGAAATCGGCATTCGAGTCGGAAAAGTCGAATCGGCGGAAATCGGCAGGCTAGTAGGCCTTCAATAAGAAATCGGAACCCAAATCGGAATCCCAAGTCGAATCGAATCGGAATCGGAAGCCATCGAAATCGAATCGAATCGAATCGGAGGTGTCGAAACGAGCCCTGGACGGGAACCTCCTCCTCGGCAGCGAGCTGCCGTGCTGGCGCTTTGTCTCAGTCGACTCCGCCCGTGGAGTGGCCACGAGGCTGCTCTCAGGGCTCCTCCTGAACCCCGCTCAACTTGTCTCGGCCTTCGGCCGAGGGAGTCCAGGCCGTTAGAGAGCATGTCGCCATCAACAACAACAACCTGGCACATACCAGGACTGCAGGACTGAACAAGATGACTCACACGCGAATGCATTATCCCAGTGCGACCCTACCTAGGAGTTTGAGCATCTAGGAAAGCAACATCTACATCTACACCGAGAGCTACATTAACATCTACACCTGCATCTGCATCTACATCTACATCAGCAGTGAGACGCACATCTACATCTGCATATACACCTACATCTACATATACATATACACCTACATCCACACCTACACCTACGCCTACATCTACATCTACAAGTTCGAATTGGTTGTGAGTTTGCTTTGCATTGCCTTGCCGTTGCTTTTGCTTGAATGGTGCCTGACCTTGCCTTTGATGTTGCTTTACGGTATGGTATGCTATGAATTGCTATGTTTTGTTATGCTGCGCTATGCTATGCTATGCTATGCTAGACCACGCTCGGCTGCGCTGTGTTATGCTAGGCTATGCTATGCTATGCTATACTATGCTATGTTGCGCTATGCTATGTTATGATGTGCTATGCTATGCTGCGCTGTGCTGTGCTATGCTATGCTAGGCTGCACGATGCTATGCTACGCTAGGCTATGATATGGTATGTTGCGCTATGTTATGCTATGCTATGCTATGATATGCTATGCTATGCTGCGCGTTGCTGCGCTATGCTATACTGTGCTATGCTATGCTATGCTATGTTTTGCTATGCTGCGCTATGCTGCGCTATGCTATGCTACGCTAGGCTGCGCTATGTTATGCTAGGCTATGATCTGCTATGCTATGCTGCGCTATGCGATGCTATGATGTGCTATGCTGCGCTATGCTATGCTATGCTATGGTTTGCTATGCTGCGCTATGCTATGCTATGCCGGGCCATGCTATGATATGCTAAGCTAAGCTAAGCTAAGCTACAGCTAAGCGAAGCTGAGATGAAGCTAAGCTAAGCTAACCTAAGCTAAGATGAGATAAGCAACGCTAAGCTAAGGGGACGTAACTGGTGGAACCGCGGGGCGGATGCCGGGGGACCCGCCTGGGGCGAGTTGCACTGCCCGGCCCCTTTAGGCTAAGAAGGTAAGAACCCTTCTAGGCAGAGCCTAGGTAGGGAGCAAACAATCAATCGTAATATGCTGCCACTCCCTGTCAATGGACGGGTCTCAGCCAAAGACACCGTGCTATGTTTGCGCAGACCGCCAGGCCATTGTCGTTGGTCCCAAGGAGCCACAGCAGGCTCTCATGGAGCCCCTTCGGAGGCCTCATGGAGGCCTGAAGGGACCCCCCTAAAGGCCTCGTCCTTGTCCGCATCAGCCTCCATCCTTTCCTCCTCCTCCTCCTCCTCCTCCTCGTCATCATCATCCTCATCCTCCTCATCATCATCATCATCATCATCACCAGCATCATCATCATCATCAACATCATCATCATCACCATCATCAGCATCATCATCATCATTTTCATCATCATCATCATCATCATCATCATCAGCATCATCATCATCATCATCATCATCATCATCATCATCATCGTCATCGTCATCATCATCATCATCATCAGCATCAGCATCATCATCATCCATCTCTTCCTCCCCCAAAGCCCAAAGTGAGCCCCCCATGGTTCACACACCGGCTGGAGCAACACGCAGTCCAATAGCTTGGCTGGACTTGGGTCCAACGTTTGGCAGCATTGCCATTTCCGAAAGGCAGGGGGCGGCGATGGTTCACCATAGGCGACTTCGACCTATGGAAGTGTTTTTTTTGTGTGTGTGTGTGTGCGTGTTGTTTGTGTTGTTGGTTTGTGTTTTTGTTTTTTAGTTGGTTGTGTGTTGTGTTGTTTTGTGCTGAGTTGTTGTTTTTTGTTGTCTTGTGTGTTTTTGTGTTTTTTTTTGTGTTTTCGTTTTTTACCCTTTGCATGATACGGAGATTGAGGGCGAAAAGCGTGCAGCTTCCAGTTTGGCATTCGCGCCTGCTCGGGATCGCGATACACTTAACGATGCCACACCTGTACGGCCATCCTGCGGTTGGTGAGGAGGCTCGGGGAGAGGGCCAATGTCTCACTCAACCATTCTCGCAATCGATCCCATGTTCGCTTGCACTGTCGATCTGACTATCGATCTCAACATCGATCTCACTGACGAAATCCGCCGGCCCCCTTGTGGGGCCACCAGGCTGTAGGCGCGGGTTCGCAGTTTCCAGTACCAGTTGTAGCTTGTAGTTTCCAGTGTTACAGTTCTGCTTCTTGCTGGTTACTGTAACTAATTGACTGACCGCGCGAGGGGGGGGGAGGCCCAAACGGGACTTTTAGCACCCCCTGGGCGCGTTGTCTGAATTGCTGGGGGGGCTCGAAATCGACACCCCTCACGCAGATCCGCGGGGTCACGTTCCAAAAACACAGGGGATTTGCTACATTTCTGAAATTCGGTGCCACCCCTCAGGCAGATCCGCGGGGTCAGGGTCCAAAAACACATGGGATTTGCCACATTTCTGAAATTCGGTGCCACCCCTCACGCAGATCTGCGGGGTCAGGGTCCAAAAACACATGGGATTTGCCACATTTCTGAAATTCGGTGCCACCCCTCACGCAGATCCGCGGGGTCAGGGTCCAAAAACACAGGGGATTGCCACATTTCTGAAATTCGGTGCCACCCCTCACGCAGATCCGCGGGGTCAGGGTCCAAAAACACAGGGGATTTGCTACATTTCTGAAATTCGGTGGCAGATCCGCGGGGTCAGGGTCCAAAAACACAGGGGATTTGCCACATTTCTGAAATTCGGTGCCACCCCTCACGCAGATCCGCGGGGTCAGGGTCCAAAAACACATG